AGCAGCAACCTTAGTTTTTCCCAGGAGGTCTCCCATCCAGGTACTGACCAGGCTCACACCTCCTTAGCTTCAGTGGGTTGCCAATTGTGAGTTGCAGGGTGATATGGCTGCTGGCCTTGAAAAGTATAAGCTACAAGGAGGTGTAGTAGCAGGACATGAGATGAGACAAATGGTATCTCATCTGTGGCCCATTTTATGTGGCCAGTCAAGTTTGTCTACAGGTGCTTCACTGATGCTGCAGCAAACCTGCATGCAGGTAGTAATTTTCTGTGGCTGCCGTGGAATTCGGTGGCCAGAGGTGAATTCTGCATCGATTCCTGCCATCCCAGAGTCCTTGAGTGTTTGATGGCTGCCTCTGGAGAACGGTCACTGCCCATGTGAAACTTGGTGCCAGTGATCCCATTGCTGTGGCTTCGTGATCACTGTTTCCACAGCTGTTTGAGGCCATGGATGTTCTCCGTGCTCTCTCTGTGTTGTAGCAGAGCAACGGGAGTGTGTGTAAACTCCTGTGTCTCAATGTATGATAATATGTTGAAACTGATATCTTACTGAAATGTATTTTTCTTATGTGATGACTTCAAGGCCTTTAACATGATTTGAAAAGAGAGGTTTGCTGTAGAAATGAAAGACTTTATGTTCTGAGTAGTGATTTTTAAAAAGAATCTGAACTGAGAACATGAGGCGCATCCTCACCTGAACGGCTGTGGAGGTCTGGAAGATGTCACTTAGTCGTGTTGTAAATGCTATTGACCTGGCTTCTCTGATGAAATGAATGAGCAATTGGCTGTAGCTAACAAATGAGCTGCCCAACTGGGTCCCTCTTGTCTCTAACCTTTCTTGCATGCTTTGAAAGTGTGGAAATACATTACCATACATGCCCATTATCGGTACCAACATGCACGCGATGTGAAATGCCTGTTTCTCACAAAAGTAGCATATGCGGGCACCAGAATGAAAATATAATCACGCTAACGAAAAGTTCTCTATGTTTTGCAGTCAATCAGCTACGATCCCTGCTACGCAAGCAAGAAAAGGAGTCCTTACCTTCCTCCCCTTCAAGGGAGAAGTCTTCCCCCAAGGTACAGAGAGCATAACTGCGAACCGCCCTCGCAGTCGGATTTGTTAAGCGAGCCGGCCTGTTCAGACCAATGTACAACTGTGCAATGTCATGGGCCACTCGCCACACTCAGCAATAGAGCCTGCCTGCCAATGGGCTCTCATATCGGTGCTGATCGCCAACACGTGCTGATCAGTCCCTCCAGGAAATATTGGAGACAATATTACGGCTTTTTAATGATTTATGTGGGAAAATTAATATTTTATCTGTTATGATTTGCATAGTTTAAACCATTTACATTTGAACAATGAACTAATGTGACTTTTACAATGGGAATTATGAGACATTGACACAGAAATAATTGTTGCTTCTTTAAAAATAAGTTTTACTCATTTTTAACCTTTTCACATTAAGAGTATTTTCCTTAAAACATTTTAAATGCTGCAAATTATCAGAAAGAGTTCTATTTATCCTTTCAGCTTCTCACAAAGTAAAATGCCTGAAATAAGCACAAACGTACAGAGAAAGGAGATGTTGTTTGAAGTGTAAGGTCTTAGCTTGCTTATATTGTATTGAGTTCGACTGAAATATCAGCCGACTCTTGCACATAAGATACATTTATGTCACTGTTAAAGAGCTATATAATTTCTCTCAACTAAAATAGTTTTCACATTCAGTGCCAAAGTTCTAATAATCTTTAGAGTATGTCAGACTATTTCAATACATAAACTAATCTATTCATTAATTATGTAATATGTAATTAACAAATACATTTTTGGAACACCACTAATAATCATGAAATCCCATTTGGTACAGTATGTTTATATCTGCTTAAATGGCTTCAAATAATACTTGTCTTAATTGCTGTATACATATTAATGCTATTAAAATTGCTTAGGTTCTTTAGCCATTTTATAATTGTTATTTTGGGTTTTTAAAATGGTGTAAGAACAATTTAAACAGTAGAATACTGTTTCTGACCTTTTCATGAAGTCCCATATGTCAAAACTACATTTCCCACAAGACACTGGGTTACTGCGGGCATAGCTGAAATGGATCAGAAATACTGAATACTGTATAAACTATGTGTATTATATAAAATCAATTATCTAAAGATTCACAATGTTCATGCTGACACTGAACACAGGTCAAAATATTTCAAATGCAGTCCAGTAATATTTTTAAAATATAAATGTTTGTGATAGTTTATTATACAGCAGTCGACTAAACAACGTTGAAATCTCGAGATTTCTTTTTCAACCCTTGATGATAAGTCATTCCAATTTCTGTTCTTCATTCTCATTCATTCTTCATAGAGGAGTGCAGCACACAGTTCTCTGTTACTCCATCTCCTCGATTTCAAGGCACTGACAGTC